GGTTTAAAATCTGGAGGGGTAGCTTGACTGTGGAGGTTTTACTGAGGAGCGAGGGGTCCCAGCCCCACACCAAGGCCCCCAGCCAAGGGTTCCAGTGTTGGGAAGAGAAGCCCCCACAACTTCTGAACTTCTGGCTGTGAAAACCAGCAGCGATTGTGGCTGAGTGGCACAGAGACTGCTGGAGCCCTAGGCAGCACCTCTTAAAGGGCCCACACACCATCTCACTCCCTCTGAGCTCTACCACTGAGGAAGCAGCTTGAAAGGAACCTGGGACATCTGGGGAGGAACTAACTTGTCTGGACCAGGATGAGAGCTATAAGGGAAGCTTTCTCCCAGACAGAAGTGCTGGCAGAGACCATTGTTCCTTTGCTGAGCCCTCCCCACCACAGAGGCAACAGGCATTGCCATATATGAATCTTCATCAAACTGGCTCATACTTTTCACCCCACCCTGGTGAATCCCTGAAACCCTGTCCCTCCCTACTTGCAGGCTCAACCAAGCCATTTCCAGTGTCTTTTCCATAAAACCTGTCTCTCTTGCCTCATGCTTCAGACTTTCCTAAAATCTCTCAAACAAGCAGGAGCCAGCTCCAGCATGCCCCCATACCTCTCAATAAGTGGCCCCAGGCCCAGCACTATTGGCAGCCTGCTTTGGTTCACAGTTTGGCATCTCCTGGGCACCCCCAAGCCCAACACAAGTAGCAGCCATCTGCAGATTGCTTTGTAGCTCATACTAGGTGTCCCTGGGCAAGGCAACAGGAGTGACTGACTTTGCACCCCCCAGGAGACTCCAGAGTCAGTGCACCTGGTGGTCAGCTTTGACCATGCCAGATTACAAGCTACCACCTCCATGAGTGACACACTCAAGAGGCGAACCCAGTGAGCACCAAAGCTCCACTCAAGCAAGTCCTACTCCATAGGGTCAGCTCCTGCACAGCAGCAGCTCTTCTGCTATAGTTGTGGGCGATCCTTGTAACCTGAGGGTCAATCCCTCCTAGTGGTGACAATATCAAACAAGGCTCAACTTTAATAAGACAGTGCACACAGCTCACACAGGGGCGCACCTGGAGTACCCAGCTCAGACAACTGAGGAGGCTGAGCCCCTGGGTCCTATAGGATACTTTCTACACAAGGCCACTCTGCCAAGTCCAGGAGACATAGCAGATCTACCTAACACCTAGAAACAAACACAGGGAAGCAGCCAAGAGGAAGAGGAAGAGGAGAAGACATAAAAAGTATGAACAATAAAATGGCAATAAATACATATCTATCAACAATTGAATCTAAAAGTCAAAATAAATGAACAAGCACAACGGAATCAGACTCATAGATCAGAGAACACTTTGACATTTTCCAGATGGGAGGGGGCGTTGAGAGGATGGGTGAAAAAGGAGAAGGGATTTAGAAGTACAAATTAGTCATAGCCCATGGACACAGACAATAGACAAGTGAAGGCCTGGGATGGGTGAGAGAAAAGTGCAGGGGGCAAGGGAGAAAAATGGGGGACATCTGTAATACTCTCAACAATAAAATAAGATTTTAAAAATATCAATGAAATTTAACACATTATATGAATAATAAACAAAAATTATGAATAACTAAAATTAATTCATGAACAAATATCAAACCCAAATATAACACTAATCATTAAAGGAATTAAGTGGGCAATCAAAATTTTCCCTACACAACAACAAAAGACAAGAAATACTCAAAATTTTATAGATGAATTTTATAAAGCCTTCAAGGATTTCCCCTTTTTACTGAAAATATTTTAAGGAAACACAAAGATGAAAGAAAACATACTATTGATGCCAAGATAAGATGTCTGGAATGGGCAAATCTATATGGGCAAAAGAAAGATTAGTGATTGTGTAGGGGGAGGGTTTGGAGTGCTACTGCCTATAGTTATGGGGATGATAAAAATTACTTGGGATTGGTTTGTGGTGATGTTTGCACACTCTGTGAATGTGCTAGAGACCATGGCATTGGATTGAATAGATGAACTCTGTGATGAGTGAAACATAATTTCATTAAAGCTGTTAAAAAGAAAACATCAGATGAATGCAAGAAAAAAAATTATACTATCTCACTTATGAACATAACTAGGAAATTCTTAAGTTAAATACTGATGAAAGTTAATTCAATTTTTACTATTCTAAGTAGCATTATTTCAAGAATGCAACAATTCTTCAACATCAGATAACCTACTATAACAATTTATTATTAAAAATCAAATAATAAAAACCATATGACTATTTTGATGAATTTATTTTTTTATTAAACAGGTATTTATTCCAGGCTTAATATGTGACAGACACTATACATTAGTAAACAAAAGAGAAAAAGTCCTGGTACTCAATAGAAATAAAAAAACACATATGACCCCAGCTGGTGTCACTCCGTGGTTGAGCGTCTACCTATGAACTAGGAGGTCCCGGTTCATTCCCAGTCAGGGCACATGCCCAGTTTGCAGACTCAATCCTCAGTAGAGGGTGTGCAGGAGGCAGCCAATCAATTATTCTCTCTCATCATTGATGTTTCTCTATCTCCCTCACCCTTCCCCTCTGAAATCAATAAAAAATATATTCTAAAAAAATAAAAACAACACATTTGATAAAATTTTACATCAATTCTCAGCAAAATATGGTTAAAAGAGATCTCGAGTACTAAGTCAACAATATTGATCAAAACAAGAACAAACATCATCCTTAATGCTGAAACATGAGCAGCTTTCTCACTGATCCCAATAAAAAAGATGTCTATATTAGAGACTGATGTCCAACAAATTAACTTTAAAATATGAAACATAAAAATTGCAATGAAAAAATAAATTATTTCCTTTATTTAAGATGAAATAATGAAAATATACTTTAAGATAAAAAATTAAAATGTAATTTCCCTTTATTTATGATGAAATCATTAAAAACCCCAATAGTATCTTAAGCCATTAGAACTAGGAAAATAGTTCAACAAACTTGACAGGTACAAGGTCAGTATACAAACCACCAAGCAATCCTACATACTAGAAATAATGAAGTAATAAATGTAGTTGAATTTTTAATTCATAATGAAAACAAAAACTAGAATGTATTTGGTAATATAGCTAACAAAGTAATGTGTGACCTTTATCAAAATAAAATTCACCAGTGGCAACAGCAGAACATCCTTCATGCACAAAAATCTTGTTGAGCCTTTGCATAACCACCACATTGCCCAGCCATGACCAAACTGTGAGTCCATGGCCCAGAACTAGGCTCACAAGGAAGGAAGAGATTTGCTTTCACATAGTAGACTATTCTACTCATATAATTATTTCAAACTGCTTTGGCAGTGAGGTCCCTCTGGTGAGACTCCATCTTAGATATATTCTCATTTCTTTGCCCATAATTGACACATTCAAAATTTACTTATTGTGCAGCAAGCATATTTAAAATTTTTTAAATATTCTTAAAAATGTAATGCAGATGCCAAAAAATGTCCGTGATCTCTTTGAGTTTATATTCTCTGTGGCTGGAGAGTGCAAATTGAAGGGGACAATGACAGTTGATAGGTTGTAAATAAGCAAAAACCAAAGGTAATTTCAAAAAGAAATAATTAATTTTTTACCACAATTTTAATCCACATATCTCTCACAAATCTCCTTCTCACTAATTCTCCAACTGAGTTTCATGATCTAAGGGACCTCTGCTGAAATTCTGTTGGTTTCTTTCTGAAGTTGCCACAGGCCTTGTGCAGCATTTGCTCTGCTATTGATGCTCTCGTGTTCTGCCATTTCTACAGCATCACTGGGATGAGGGCCAGGGCTACCTGTCTAGCAGTGCGCACGAGCTGGGGAATCTTCTTTTATCCTGGGGCCCCCTCACAGGATTTTTGGCTATTAGGTAAATGGTTTGAAGAGGATAAACAAATGTGCTATGTGTGGTCTTTCTAGGACATGCATAGGTCCAACAAACAATTTCAAATTTCTCCATTGTCCTTGGATACCTGCAGGTATATGTCTATACCTGCAATTCCATGGTGGCACCAATATATGTCTTTTAGGTCATTTCCTTGCAAATGACAGAATATAATTCTGACTTACTTAAACAACGTAAATTAAGACAACAACAATAATTAAAGAGGGAATTCATGAATTTGGTCTGGGGTAGCTCACAGCATCCAGGGGAGAGTCGGTGTGGCAAGGTGGTAAAAACATAGACTTAGGGGTAAGTCCATTTGGTTCCAAATTCCATCCCCACCACTTACCTCTCTGAGGCAGTTTCCTCCCTCTTCTTAAAATAACAATAACTAAAGCATTTCCCTAAAGCACTTGTGGTTAAATACACATTATGTATATAAAATGCTTGGCACAGTCCCTGACATCATGCAAATATCTGGATCATGTGTTCTTATTATAATTCATGTTTATGAATCTGCCTTGAAAAGGAAGAATCTAGGATAACACCAGTGATCTTATCAGTGGGCCATTGGGATTGGCTGTCAGAGTACTGCAAACAGAATGGCTGGCCTCTGCCTCTCTCTCCTCATATGAATCTCTCCTCATTAAAATTCCCACAGAGTGAATGGTCTGACATTGACCATGTACTCATTCCTGTACCAAACACTGTGCAAGGAAGAATGAATGAATAATGAGCAGGGACGGTGAGAATTTGGGGTCACCATGATTAACAGAACCTATGATTAGAAGTCTCTATGGAACTATATTGAGCAAGTAGAATTTAATTGCTAGAAGCATGGCAAAGATAGACGAAGTGTAACAGAAATGTGTACCATACTGTGTGTAATAAATTAAATATTTTTCTAGGAAAAATACCTAGGACCACTTTTCTCTGACTCAGCCTCAACTGGTAACATTCTAAGAAATTTAACTCCCATCTCTGCTTAAGTATTCTTAAGAAAAGCTGTAGGGCACCTTGCAGATCCTGATATCAGAGAATTCTCCTGAATATCCAGGCACTATTTATTGGAGTTCTACCCAGAATCCTCATCATTCTGATGTTATTATTTGAAGCACCAGAAATATTTTCTCAACATCCTTTTCACAGCAGCCTTCATCTCCTTGTTCTTCAGGCTGTAGATGAGGGGATTCAGCATGGGGGTGATCACACTGTACTGCAAGGAGAAGATTAACTCTCGAATGGATCCAGAATTTGGCATGAGATAACGGAGAAGTCCCGAACCATAAAAGAAGATCACAGCAGTGAGGTGGGAGGAGCAGGTAGAGAAGGCCTTGCTTCTGCCTGTGGAGGAGCTGATGCGCAGGATGGTGGACAAAATGCGAACATAGGAGAAAAATATCAGGAGAAAATTTCCAAAGAAATGCAGGAGGCTAGAGCAGAGCAGGGCAGTAAAACTTGCAGTCACGTCAGAGCAGGACAAGGGGTAAAGAGAGGGCAGCTCACAGCAGAAGTGGTGGATATCTTGAGCCTCACAGAAGTCTAAATTGAGAGCTACAAGGATATTGATAAGAGCATCCAGAAAAGCCAAACTCCATGAGGCCCACACCAGCCCCATACACAGCTGTCTGTTCATCACCTGGGCATAGAGCAGAGGAGAACTGATGGCAACATAGCGGTCATATGCCATCACAGCGAGTAGGCAGGATTCAGTGCCCCCGGAGGCAAACAGAAAGAAGACCTGAGCCAGGCAGCCCTCTACTGAGACAGTTTTCTTCTCAGACAGCAGATTCTCCAGCAGCTTGGGCACAGTGACAGAGGAGTGGCAGAGATCGAGGAAGGACAACTGCCTCAGGAAAAAGTACATGGGGATGTGAAGACGGGGATCAAACCCGATCACCAGCAGCAGCATCAGATTCCCCATCAGGGTCAGGAGGTAAATAACAAGGAACAGCACAAAGAGCAGAGGCTGGATCTGGGGATCCACAGACAGCCCGAGGAGGATGAACTCAGAGATAACACTGTGGTTCCTCATTGCCTTCAGTATGTTCTTGGGAATGTCAGAAATAAACTGGGTGAAGCCTCTTCTAATGTCTAATATCTCAGTGTTTTCACCCTATTCTCCAATCACAAAGTTTCACGCCCACTCAAAAATGTATTTCTGAAATGGTAAGTCTCTAGATTTCCTAAAACGTGTAATAATCTTTTCTACAGAATCTCAACACTAGATCAACTCGCTGTCCACATTTATTGTTCTTTCTGTAATGTCTTAGAGTTAATTTCTTGTTGTTTTATTATTCAATCTACAGAAGGATGTTTGTAAACGGTTGATAATAATCCAGTAGAAAGAGAGAGATTCCAGGAGGAATGAGATACAATTGCAGAAATAGTGTCTCTGAGAGCAGCTGGGTTTCACAGCAGAAGCAGAGCATGGATGGTCTTAAGTGAGAATAGGTTTTCTTCATCCATCAAACACGCATGCAGTCAGTAGATTTGGTGTTAGGAAGGCAGCACTTCTCATCTGATGGCTTTTGTTATTCACTAAGTATTTAAATGAGATCATTAATGGAAAGTGAAGAGGGGTAGTGGCTGGACATGTGCCCAGTGAGGAGAAAGGGAGTTAATTAGAGACAAAGCAGCACAGAGATATCCCAGATACTGTGTAATTTATCACAAGAAACTGTTGACTGATATGAAAACATACTCTGGTCATAATCTCCATGCCCAGTTTGTGTGATCTATTCAGAGTCAGCTCTTGTCAAGCCTTCATGACACTTGTAAATATAGACTACCCACTAACTTTCAAAAGCTTGACCCTTTTTTCCAACTGTGATCCGACAACCGAGATTACAACCATCAGCTCAGGATAACCCTTCAACACTATTAACCACACCATCTTGACCTTCATGTCCTGCTCTATCTCTTGTGTTCATACTACAAGACCAGCCCATTCAATTTCTCAAAAGCCATGCTTTCTCCCCCAGTTTATCCAAACAACACACAGCACTAAACCTACTCTTAGGAATCAATTCCACATTACCTGCATTTCTCGCCTCGTTGAGCAATAACTAACACTGAGTTAAAGAAAAACCTTTGAAAATCCAGTAGCCCAGAAGACACATAAGTTTAAATATCAGTGTGAGAATTTGGTATTAAGGTGAAGTTTAAAAATTCCTGTTGATATAGATCTCCTCCTTGATTTCTAAAAGAGGAAAATACATGGGTAAATTGTAAAAACCTAAATACTTCCAGTCATGTGGGGATTGCATTTTCTCTTGTTATTATTTTACTTTTTTCTTTTACTCACCACTCATGTTCTAGCTATAGAGACTGGATTCATCCGGAGAACAGTACACCAGTGGCAGAAGATGCTGGAAAAGCAAGGAATCAAACCATGAAATTCAGACAGAGAACCGCCAGTTATCAATTCGGAGGGCAGCAGAAAGAAAGCTCCCCTCTGTTCTACTCATGTCCAAATGGAGCCCCAATACTAGCACTAGAAATTCCTTGAACTTTGGGGAAACGTCCTCTCTTAGAAATAAAGGCCAAAGCACAAAACTCTTGCAGAGGACAAACCTGGAAATTGTATCCTGTCAGGCCAGACTCCCTCACAGGTAGAGGTGGACTATATTAGCTATTTGAGGGCCACAGAAGTAAATAAAATCATCACTTTCTCCTGGTGCTACAGTTTTACTGTTCTCGGTGCTTCGTTTATTCAGGCTAGTGAGTCCAGATGTGGAATGGAAACAGCTCTGAGAATGCTGCCCCTTTATGTTTTCAGTTACTGTCACAATTAGGTGGAGGTAGCTGACTAGGTCATTTCCAAAGAAAAGCTGCCCGAGAGGAGTTTATCTTAGAATGAGACATACAGAAGCACCTAGGAATTGTAACTGCCTCAAAGGGGTTGCTCAAAAGTGTTATTTAAAAACAGAAGTGTGTGTGTGCATGAGCAAGTGAATGGATGAGACTCAGGAGGAGAGGAGTCACAGAGAACAGATCTGATAGAAACCAGTAAGGGACTTGGACATCCTAGACTCCCATGAAACCAGATGTAGAAAGGATACTGGATAAAAATTTCACCCATTGGAAAGGTTTGCACCAAAGCTGTGTCTTGTGCCCTGTTCTGAACTTCCACATACCACAGAATACATAATTATGGGGGATAACTATGACTAAAGTATCTAATGTGTTTCTGGACCCTATATGTTTGAAGTGCTTGGAGAGGGTTATTTTTGAGTCACGAGGTGCCCAAAAGCTAGCACTGGTAGTCTGATCTCCTTCCAACTCCTACAGACAATTCTCAGCTATTAGCCTCCCCAAACCACCAGATTTCTAGTATAATGTGAGCTTTCAGCACCAAAAAACAAATAATATAGCAAAGAGACTTGTCTCAATTGTCCCACGTGTAAAATGAAGACTAAAATAATTACCTTGCAAAGTTGTGAGTTCTTAACTTACTAACTTAAGTATAGTGCTGAAGACAATTGAGGTGCCAAAGAATCATTAGATTCTCTTTTCTTTACCCCCAATCCAAGTGTGTAAATTTCCCAAAAGGAAACAGAGAAGTGGTTTTGAGGAGCAGACCAAAACATTTAAGGTAACAGAAACAAATACTACATCAGAGAAAAATGTTCTCCTACCTCTAGACCTGGAGAATAAAGATAAGTTGAGAGGACTGAGGGGGAACAGAGTGCCTGAAGAGGAATAACAAGAAGTGGTGGGAATGAGGGTAAAGGGGTCCTACAGGGAACACAGAAAACCATGAGAGAACAGAGAAAACATTACCTGGTTTCTGTCTTTTCCTGGCACTGAGTGCATCTTGTTTTTCTGAGTTGGTGAGCATGACTCTGAGCTCAGGAGAAATTCACAAGACAGAAAATGTCCCACAACATTAAATCATGTAAAGGGACGTTGCTTTTTCTATGGGAGACTTTTTGTGCATAAATAGAAATCTGTAAGCTCAATACTCAAAAGCCTCTGCAAATAAAGACTTCAGAAACCTCTTCTAAACTTTGACAGCATTTTTACCCTTATCCCCTAATGTCTCCACAAAAAGACAAAGAAAAGCTTGAAAATTTCAAATTCCTAATAAGTAGTATAGCAATTCTTTCATACTTCCTCCAGCACAATTACAGTCATTTCTTCACAAATCTCTCTCTGTGACTGTTACTACATTGCTAAAAGCACCTTCCTAACAAAGGAGGCTCAGGTTAAGCCATTCATAAGGGCTTGTGGATGAAGGTGCCCAATAGGTTGGCAAGGTCTGACCTGAAAGCCCAGGGGATGTCTAGGTCCGTCCTGAGTGTTGGGAAGCTCAGCCCCAAGCATACTTCGTACTCATTAGCTAAGAATGAGTACCGGAAGATCCCAATGCGAATTCCCACTGAAACTCAGTGACTCACAGCTTACCATTAAATCATCTTGCTAATGTTTGTCATGAGTTTAATTATTATAGATAGTATAGACATTCATTATTATAGAAACACTATCAGGTCTACAGTAATTTAAATTTTCCTACATATTTGACTTTGTTGCTCAGTTTTTTTCTTCATCTGCAATTGCAAATTCAAAAGCTGAAACTAGATTGCAATGGATGAGTTTAACACAAATTAGACAGAGTTAAAAAGTATTAGTGAATCAGATAGGTCAGAAGAAAGTAAGAACTTCCATCTGAGAGCATTTTCTTTCTCCTTTAAGAACTTTTCATTTTTCCTTTAGTGAAAGTCTTCTAATAATATATTTATCTCACCTTCATTCTTAAAGGACTTAAAATCATAATTTTTTAAATTCAGTACTTTGAAGATAATATTTCATTGTCCTCTGTCTCCTTGTTCATCTAATGTTTCTCCTGAAGTCAACTGTTAGTCTAATTCAGTGATTTCCAACTGATGTGCTATAGCACACTGGTGTGCCTCAAGAATTTTTAAAACAAGCAATACCTAACTATTTAGTCAGGGGCACTGACCTTTTTGCCCTTAGATTATCAAATAAGAAAATGACAACAGCCAGCACAACAACAGCCATCTGGTGTGAATGAGTAAAATTATATTAATTTTTTGTCAGATTGGCAAAAAATATAATAAATAGAGGCCCAGTGCACGGATTCATGCACAGGTGGAGTCCCTCGGCCTAGCCTGTGCCCTCAATCCAGGAACCCTCAGGGGATGTCTTATAGGCGGTTTTGGCTCGATCCCTGCAGGCCTGATCCAGACAGGAGGGAGCTCAATCCTGTGCATTGAGCGCCTGTCCACTGGTGGTCAGTGCGTGTCATAGCAACTGGTCGTTCAGTTGGTTGGTCGCTTAGGCTTTTATATATATAGACTAGAGGCCCGATGCACAAAATTCGTGCAAGAGTAGGCCTTCCTTCCCCCAGCTGCCAGCACCGGCTTCCCTCTGGCACCCGGGACTCGTACTTCTCTCACAGCCCCGGCTTTGTCCGGAAGGTCGTCTGGAAGGACATCCAGTCTAATTAGCATATTACACTTTTATTATTATAGATGTTATATGTGCTATGAGACGAAAAAGGTTGAAAATCTCTGGTCTAATTGTACTTCTCTGGAGTTAATTTGTCTTTTTTTTTTCTTGCCACTTTCAGTATTATGTCCTTTGATTTAGTAATTTTATTATGATGTGAAAATGTGTGACTTTCTTTTTAATTATCATATTTGAAGTTTATTTATAGGACTTCTAGCATTTGTAATTAATATATAGTGTGTCCCAAAAATGTATACACACACTTTGAATAATTAAAAAGGCAGTGTTTATTAAAATACATTTCATTTTGTATTAAAATACATTTTAAAATTGAGCTATTAGCTGTTAAAGTATGTATATATTTTTGGGGACACCCTGTATTTTTTTCAGTTTAGAAAAATTTCACCCATTATCTTATATATTGCCCCATTTTCTCGTCCATTACTCATTCTTTCTCTCTTCCTTGGAATTCCACGTACATGATGTGTATGACTCTGAGCTCAGGAAAAATTCACAAGACAGAAAATGCATTCTATACATTATGTATGTCATACTGTATTT